GAGTCAGGGAGGGCTTGCATGTGGTGGCTCAGGGTAGTGGATAGCAGCAACAGTTGTGTGTAAGCGCTCCCCCCTTTCCCCCATTGCCGGGAGGTGTCTGTGCGGCCCAGAGAGGGTAGTTGCTGCCCTCGCTCCCAGCTTCCTTCACCTGGCCCTGCTCCTGGGAGGTGGTGGTGCGGGGTGGTGGTGCTCCATCCCTGCCCACCTATACATACTCCCTTGTCCCTTCCCAAGTATCCCCTGCACTAGAGTTGTGCCTAGTGCTGACTGCTATACTGAGCACCGACTCATTCGCTCAAAGTTCTTCTTCCACTTCAAGCCTCAGCCCAAACACAGGCAACCCCCCCCCCCCCCAAAGAAATGTGATGCTTACATGTTGCAAAACCAGTTTTGCCAACAAAAATTTCAAACAACGTTTCAGTCGAAGCTTGAAAGCAAAGCCCATACTGCAGGCACCTCACCTGATGGACTCATCAAGTAATTAGTTTTCGAGACCACCAGGGAGATTGCTGGGCTCAGCACTAAGAGAAACCGATACTGGTTTGATGAACACAACAAGGAAATCCAAACCCTGTTTACAAAAAAGAGGACCATTTATCAAGCTTTTCTAGTACAGCCAACTAGCCAAGATAGAAAGACAGCTTACCGCTAGGCATGTAACACCCTTGAGCAGAAACTGTGTGACATCCAGAACACATGGTGGACTAATCTTGTGGAAAGAATGCAACTATATGCTGATAATGGAGACACCAGAAGCTTCTACAAGGCACTGAAATCTGCCTATAGCCCCACCTTCCTGATCCAAAGCCTGCTGAGGAGCTCTGACGGCCAGACCCTACACATTGACAAAGACTGTCATGGATCAATGGTCTGAACACTTTTAAACTCTCTTTAGTGCTGAATGCACAGTACATGAGTGTGCCATCAACCGCGTCAAGCAACTGCCTGTTAAGGAAGAACTAGATGAGTGTCTTACACTGGAAGAAACCTTCACCGCTATCAACCAGATAAAAAGCAACAAAGCCCCTGGAATTGATGGAATTCCACTTGAAGCCCTAAAATACAGTGGTCCCGCCCTACACTCCAAGTGTCATGAACTCTTTATAGCCTGCTGGGAGCAAGGGAAAATTCCACAAGATCTGCATGATGCAGTAATCATCACCCTGTACAAGAAAATACAGAAAAAGTGCCAGGAGCAGAGTAAAGGGCTGTACATCACTTTCATTGACCTTACTAAGGCATTTGACACTGTAAGCTGAAATGGCCTCTGGAAGATTCTTGAGAAGCTTGGATGCCCACCTAAGTTCTTCACCATGGTCAGGAAACTCGGTGACAGCGTGGACAAATCAAGTACTTCTCGGGTCCCTTCCTGATTTCCAATGCAGTTAAACAAGGTTGTATATTCGCCCCTACATTGCTCACCATTTTCTTCACCATGATGCTGCAGCAAGCATTGGACAGTCGTGGGGAAGGTGAAGGTGTTTACATTTGCTTCTGGGCCAATGGAAACTTCTTCAACATCAGACAGCTACAGGCGCACACAGAGACCTCGCAACAGCTCATGTGTGAACTTCTGCTTGCGGACGATTGTGCCCTGGCAGGCCATACCCAACATGATCTGCATCACATGACAACTTGCCTTGCTACAGCAGCACAACTCTTCGGACATACCCATCAGCCTGAGGAAGACTAAAGTTCTTCATCAGCCAGCTCCAAGCCAAGCTTATGGGCCACTTAACGTGACAATTGAAGGAACTGAGCCTCAGTGCTGTCAAGCAGCTCACCTACCTGGGGAGTGTCATGTCATATGACGTTACAGTCGACGAGGTAGACAACAGACTCTCAAAAGCTATGAGTGCCTTTGGCAGACTCTGCAAGTGGGTCTGGAATAGTCGCATCCTATGGGCACAGACCAAAGTCAAGGTCTACAGAGCTGCTACCTCCACCCTACTGTATGGTGCTGAGTCATGGGTCTTATATCTACACCATGTACACCTCCTTGCGTGCTTTCATCAGCGCTTTCTCTGCGTCATTCTCTAGATTCGCTGGCAGGATTATGTCACCAATGTGGAGGTGTTCCAAAGTGCCAGTACCACCAGTATTGAGGCAATTGCCCTGCAGACTCAGCTCCAATGGGCAGGCCACATGGCCTGGATGGGTGACAGCCGCCTACCAAAGGCCGTGCTGTATGGGGAACTGATGACTGGGAAATGCGACTTCCAGGACACTCTGAAGAGGTCCTTTTCTACCTACGGTACCGACCAGAAACTGTGGGAAACACAGACTGCAGATTGTGATGCCTGGTGATTCCAAATCAAAAAGGCAAGAGCTTCTTTGAATGTCAGCGTAGAGCCAACATCAAGGTTGAGGAAGAGGAGGAGGAAAGATGCACTCTTATCTTGCAGCAGTCAGCCATATATGTGTAACCACTGCAGCAGGATTTGTCCCTCTGCAGTTGGACTGATTAGTCACCTGCAGGCCTGCAACTGGCATGGGCAGTTACCTTCCTAACACCTTTGTCTGCAAAGAACCGCTAAGAACAGGTGTCTAAACATGGAAATATGCTTTTAGTAGGGTTTTCAAAAATTTCCACATAGGTGCTAGGCTCCCGTTGATTTCCACAGGAGTTTGGTGTTTCAGGTAATCAGACAGTTTAGAAAATTATGTTGGACAACTATCTGTATCTTTAGACATCTGCACACCTTTATTTCTACTTCCCAGAGTCCAAAGTTTCAATCTGTTAGTTTTCTAAATACAGTTCACACTCCTCTTTATTAATAAATCAATCTTAAATGCAAAACATGTTTTGATAAACCTTTTTTCCCCTTAAGAATGTAGTATATTTAAGGTAGCTTGTTTTTATTAATTAAATAGATCTTGAAATGGTGTTTGTGCATCTTTGGGTTCCAGTTTACTATCAATACAAATCCAGATTTAAAAAAAGATCATTTATTAAACAAGAAATGCATCATTCATTGTTTTATAACAGAATAGATGTAGAAAAAAGGAACATAGACTAATTTGCATAGATATACTTTCAATTCGCAAAGAGAAGTAACAAAGATGGTTGTAAAAGGCTATAGTTGCTTGTAAATGGTTTTCTCAATTGATGAGAATAAATCTTTCATTAGGAAAATAGTTAAAACTAAATGTGAAAATCAGTTTTAAAATCTGGGTTTCCTGCTTGCTGATTTGAATCGTGATTTAAGTTGGTAATTTTTAAATCCCTTCCTCACTTTACAATCATTCCAGCCTGAGTCAGATAAAGATTAGGACTGGATTCTAGGACTTTAATGCTTCTGTGCTGATTTATACCAGCTGACGGTCTAGTCTCAGATTAAATCAAACTAGTAAATACTGTGAGTATTTTCACTTCAGGGTACTTGGTGGTAACTTCTTGAATGAATGTTACTAGATGTTTAAGGCGGGATAGATTTGTACGTTACAGACTAATTAAATCATAGATGTATAGCATTAGCCTTCATGAGCCCGAATTGACTTCATTAGATGCAGTCAGTTAAACCCTGCTTGAACTCTTGCTCCTTTATTCTAAAAAAGATATTGATATTAATGACTTGGCCTTTCATGAATATTCTGCCAACTGAAATGGAATTTAAAATAGGAACAGCCTTTAGGTGGTGTCTGTTACTCTTAACTGACAGAATTAGGAGTATTTTGGGGTATGTTGTGGGAGAAGAACTTATGCATATGCTTTGATCAGTGTGCGTCCTTTTCTGCTGGCACATCTCCAGCCAGCCATTGATCCACACCCATTCTTATGTTTGCATATAGTAATTACATTGTCCCAATAGGCGTTGTCCTTTCTGTTCTCTACAGAGCTAATATACTGTATATATTTAGAAAATAAAAATCATATGAAAAAAGAATGAGTTCCTTTACTGCAGGGGTGTAAAAGATACAGCTTGTGGAGCTGGATCAGGCCCATAGAGTCCTGTCATCTGGTCCCTGATGCTGCCTCTGGGTTTCAGTTGACCGACATGTGGCATAGCACATGGGACCAACCTTGCACACGAAACTTGGGACTGGCCAGTTCAGGATCTGTGCTGCATGTGGCAGCCAGTCTAGGATCCACACTGTATGTGGTGCCCCCATCCAGCCAGTGTGAGATGCTCCCACAAGTTGGGAGGGAGGGCAGGGCAGGGGAGGATGGGTCACACCCATTGCAAGTCCTGGATGGGCCAGAGTGGGTGCAGCTTGTGGCATGGGTCCCAGAGTAGGAACCATGGACACTGGATTCAGCACATGGGGGGAGGGGGGAGTGTCTGTGGGCCCTATCTGGCCTGTGACCGACCCTATGACACTCATCTAGCCCACAGGGTCAGAGAAGTTTGTCACCCCTGCTTTACTCCAAACTGCATGGTGACTTGTGAATCCACCAGATTTCTTCTTTCAAAGATTTTGATCAATCAGAAACTTCCTTGAATTGGCCTGGCTATGTGACCTTTAGATCTCGACATCACCACAGTCCAACCAAGAGGCTAGGAAGACTCGTGACATGCTCGAGTGGTGACTGCTAGCAGTGCTGGCATCGTGATCTCTCCATTGTATTAGCTGCAGCCTTTTTTGAAAGCATCCAGCCACAGATGCCATAATGTAGTATTAAGAAGGTTTTAAAATAGATTTGTCAAAACTTGTAAAGGCATAGTGGCAGCTCAAATAATAGTCTGCTAGATGCGGCTTCATTGCATCTGCCTTATGTAATAAGGAGTAGGGAGCCGTTTGCCTTTTGTCAAGTATATCATCTATTTGGGCAAAGTCTCCTTGTCCTGGAATATAGGTCACATAGGGGAAGTACTTTGAAGAGAGCCAAGGCAGAACCATATGATGGTTATGGCTGGAAAAATCAGTTCAGTGACATCATTAATCTTGAGTTGCAAGGAACTAACTAGCCACTCTAGTGCAAAATACTCTCCTAGAATCTGTGAAAGGGAATTGCATGCAGGTAATTTATTCCCCTGTGGATTTTTTTTCCCCTTCAGCCCCAATCTGACACGCTCATCTATGGTCTCTTGGATGAATACACCGTCCATGACAACTGCTACCTCAGCTACAGCTACTGCTACTGCAGCACCATCGTCTATGCCTTTTCCCACCCCTACCACAGTGGGTGACAGACCAGCGGAAAGGTACACCGTGCACTGGAATTCTTGTTGGTGTTTTGTTTTTTTGCATCATTGTAATACAGAAAAAGCAATCATTTTACCCTGTCAGAGAAACCAAATCAAAGCCAGGAATGCAGCTGTTAACTGGCAGGAGAGCCAAAGAGTGCTTTTTAAGATTGTGGATTAGCAGCTTTGGTGGGTAAGACCAAGGGAGAAGTTTGTTTGCATAGCCCTCTACTACTTGCCCATTTTGTAATTGCTGCCTTCCTCAGTATTTTGCAGTTGCATGCTGTCTCCATCAAAACACACGTGCGATTTCTTTGCCTCCCATTTCATATTCAGATGGCTTGTTCTTGATCTCAAGGCTCTGTAAAACGTTCCCCCTACCCATATCTGTGCTCTCACTGTTTCTGTGTTCTTTGCTCCTACTCTCTTCACCTGGTCCTTCTTCCATGATGTCCCCTTTATGAGCCAGTGTCTTCCTTTTGATGCATCACATGTCTGATTTCTCAATTTTTATTTTTTAAATATTTCTTGTGTGTCAGCTTTGGCACAAAAGAATATACTTGCTTTGCAAAGTAAAGCAGATATATTTTGCCATTTTTGTTTCTGGTCACCTCTTACATGGTGTATACTGATTGTCTTGTCTATAAGAAAGTTCCTGGGGGCAGAGACAATCTCTTCCAGACCTTTTTGTACAGTTTCTTCTGCCAGGTTTAAAAATGATGAATTAATGATTTGTCAAAATAAAGCGTTTAGAGCCCCCACATATTGTTAGCTTGTGGAAGCATTTTTAAGTGAGACAGCTGAAATGAAGCTCTAAGTTCTCTTCTAATGGCAGCTTGAGAAATGCATATCTATCTTGGACAAATTAATATTGAAGGTTCATTATTGAGCATCCGATATATGCCTCTAAAAGATTTGTGTCTCAAATTCTCTGCACTACTTAAAACAGTATATTCTCTGTAGTTTTCTAGATGGTTCTGATATAAAAAAGGACAGTTCAGAACAGGATTCTAAAGGTATAATAGAAATTCAAAGTTGAAATTCCCTGAAGAAATAGGTCCAAGGATCTGAAGATGATTATTTTAAGATCAAGTACAGGTTACCTAGCATTGATTTCATTTCTGATTTCCTTGCGGCATATTCTGCAGTTGGTTGGTTTTTAAAATCAGATGTGCAAAATGTGTGTGCATGCATAGTTATGATTGCATGTGCAAATTAGATATTTAGGGGTGGAAACAGCAAGCTGTGAAATGGCAATTTTTGTATTAATATATGCAAATTTGGTACTCATAGTTGTGCATGTGAAAGTGTATGTTAAGATTTTAAAGTCATCTCAAAATGTGTTAGAAATGGATAGCGTGGCTTCCCCAACCCTTGGTGAGAGTATTTCATTTTATGTTCCTTTTTCCAGTGCTGTTCCCAGAAAAGCAAGAGCAGTGTATCCTTGTGAGGCAGAACATAGCTCTGAATTATCTTTTCGTGTAGGAGCAATTTTTGAAGATGGTAAGTACTGTATGCATAAGCGTGAAGCAGTGAAAACAAACTGAAAATCCTCCTGAAATGTCCTTGAACAAAAATATTAGCCTAACAATTGTTCTGCCAAGATGGCTGACTGCAGACAATAAGCAACTTACAGGATTTCTGGCTTCTTGATATAAATGATATTTGGCATGTATTAGAGGATTGCAGAGTGATAGTTCAGGTGAGGAGACAGTTTTGGTTAGTAGCATTTTTCAAGAGGTTTTAACTGCAATACAAAAAAAGGCTATTTGGCAGCACAGAGAACCAGCTTGGCCCATGAAAACCAACCTTTTTACCTTT